GGGGGGGGCAAAAGAAAAAAACAACAAAAACCTCCTAACTGAAGAGGTCTGAAAAGACTCACACAATTTTAAATCTAAACACTTCTCTCAGAAATTATCACACTGTGATTAAAACACAAATGCAGGAACCCCACTCTTACAATCTAGGATTCCAAGCCCATGAAAAAATACCACATCACCTACATATGTGCTGTCCAGTACAGTAGCCACTAGCCACATGTCTATTTAATTTTAAATTAATTAAAAATTTACTTCTTGCCCGGCCAGAGTGTCTCAGCTGTTGAGCATCAACCTATGATCCAGGAGATCGTGGTTTGATTCCTGGTCAGGGCACATGCCCAGATTGCAGGCTTGACCCCCAGTAGGTACGTGCAGGAGGCAGCCAATCAATGACTCTCTCATCATTGATGTTTCTATCTCTCTCCTCTCTACCTTTCTTTGAAATCAATGAAGACAAAGTTGTTGTTGTTTTTTAATTTACTTCAGTCTTACTAGCCACATTCAAGTATGACTAGTGGCTATCATAATGGACAACAAATATAGTACATTTCAATCACTGTGGGAAGTTCTACTAGATAGTTTCGTTCTACATGATTTTCCTCATTCCTAAATCTCATCAGATATTACTTATATTCCACATTAGTCCTCATTAGGCATTAAAATTATAACTAGTGTTTTCAAGTGTTTGCCTCTCTAATTAGACTAGAAACTCACCTTTTTGTCTCAATGGTCAGCACATAAAAAGAGCTCAATAAATGTCTGTGGGATTAACACTGGCCTCAGTACCATTCCTAGGGAGAGTCAAGTCCCTGACTGAGAATGAGTTGGCTACCTCTATTATTTGGGACAATACAGTAAAGGCAGAGAACAGACACAAGAAAAATTTACGTGGGCCAGAAACATGATGGAAGAAATCTGCATGCCCTATATAAAACAAGGTACAGGTGCTAAATGGGAGGCTGAACACGGTCCCTTGGGGAGGCTAGGGATCTCCAAATTAATCCAGAGCTGAAAAACTGAGATCATCCCAGGATGCTTTTCTCCTGTTTTCCCTTCATCAGTTTCATTTCCTATTCTTGGCTAGTACTACTATCATTCCAATCCATTAGAAAGCTCAGAAAGCAGTTATTCTAGGCCCTATTCACTAGCTGAAACTACATTCTTTAAACAAACAAAACCCGCTCTGGCCAGTGTGGTTCAGTTGGAGAATGGTCCCATACACAGAAAGGCTGTAGGTTCGATTCCCAGTCAGGGCACATAACCAGGTTGTGGGTTCAACCCCTCGTGAGGGTGTGTACCGGAGGCAGTCGATCGATGTTTCTCTCTCACATAGATGTCTGTGTCTCTCCCTCCCTCCCTCTCCCTCCCTCCCTCTCTCTCCCTCCTCTTTTCCTCTCTCTCTAAAATCAATAAAAATGTCCTCGAGTGAGAATTAAAAAAATAAAATTAAATAATAAAATAAAAATAAAAGCTTTAAAACACACACACACACACACACATACACACAAAGAAGAAAAGAACACTTGACCTGCTGTCTATCTGTATCACCAGGCTGGGTGAGATATGGCCTTGATTTTATGTATATCCAGCACCAGAGGAAAGACAGAAAGACTTGAAGAGACATGGTTCCCTGTAGCAAGGGAAGAATGGCCTTCAGGGCTTGTTACTTGTTTATACCTAACAAGGAAACCCAATTTCTTCAGCTCAGTGAAATAGCATCCAACACCAGATTTGTCCATTAAGAACATTCTCATTTAATCACACATATACAGATGGAAGACAACTCCACCCTTTGTGAAGTAAACTCTAAAGTCCACATTGTAATGACAGCTATTGTGCAAAGGCTTAGGATATCAAGAAATGGGATAGAATACAGAGAATATCAAGGGGACAAGGCTATCCCTTCTTGGAGTAAGAAGAAAGGGTTCCACCCAGACACACCTTTTTATATGTTGTCTCTCCTGAGGAATCAACACTTCTGTGGCCTATTTTCTTGATGGGCATGCCAGAGGCATAAGGCACCTAGAAAAAGAAGAGTCAAGATTAATATTTAATTCCCACATAATACACCAAACAGCAACCGTGATGACAAATAAAAACACTTAACATACCCTTTTTAGGTTATGAACATTTATAAAATCTTCAGAAGACCCGCCCCATGCAAACACACAGCTATAGTATTGCTGCCCAGTGAATTAACTGGCTGAAAGAACACAAGGAATGCATAATTCACCTTTGGTCCTCAGAATGATGACATAGAAAGTAAAAATGAATATAATTAAAGAAAAGTAGAAACAGGAGAAGTACACAAAAACAAGACAGGTAGATAGTAGAGTTCTACAGATCCTTTCTTTTTTTCAATCAGCTTCCTTTCAGAAATTACCACCCCTTTAACCTTCAACCCAATCTGAATGCTAACTGCTCAAACTGAATTTACATGAGAAATTATCTTGCCACTGGCAAATGCAAGTACTGCGAACCAGGAATTAAAAGGCTGAGGCAACAAGATGACTCCTCTGAGATAGGGTAAGGGCCTCAGTGCCTTGAAGAGATTCCTGAGAACATGATATGCCTTTGTTTTCTACCAACATATCAGCTCCTGAAATAAGAAGTAAAACCAGTAGAGCAGAGCCTAGAAGGCTATTCCCCACAGCCAAAATGCCAGCACAACAGACAGGAAGGTATTCTTCATGATGTCAATACTCATTAAGTTAATAAGCCAGAAGGCAAAAAGACTAGTGAAAATAGAACGTCACGATCTTAGGACCTGATATTCAAGTTCTACTTCTTTCTTGCTTATAAGGCCCTTAGTGCCAGAAAATCCTCTGTATATAACCTCAAAATTTTTAGAAGATATTCTAAGAGAAAAGCCTAAAATCCCAGGACAAAAGGTCCCACGTACTGAAGCACTGCCACAAAACCCAGGAGAGAGGCAAGAAGAGGGCTGGGAAGAAAGTTAAGCAAATAAAAAATATTCTGCACAGAAAAGAAAAACTTGGGAAATTAGCTTCTGTATAGTTAAAATAAGTTATTCAAATTCACTGAAACTGTGCAATCAGAGGCAGGAAGAGCAACACAAGAGAGCAGGCTTCAGTGTTGGACTGTCTGGGTTTGAATTCCACACTTACAAATCCCTTATTAACTATGTGACTTTGGGCAAGCTATAGAACCTCTAGTCTACATTTTCTTCATCTGTAAAATATGGATTACAGTATTCCCCTCAGAGGAGTTGTCTGCAAGATTAACTAAGAATACCTATACAGCCTTGGCCAGTTTTTCCCAGTGGTTAGAGCAATGGCCTGCGGACCAAAGGGTCACAGGTTTGAGTCCCAGTCAGGGGCACATACCGGGGTTGCAGGCTCAACCCATTTGTCTTGATGTTTCTCTCCCCCCACCACTTCCCTTCCCTACATTCTCTCTAAAAAAATAATGGATAAAATATCCTTGGGTGAGGATTAAAAAAAAGAAAAAGAATACCTATACAGGTCACTTAGGTACATTACTCATTCTTTGGTATACTGCATTTGGTACATTAAAAATGTACTAAATTGCCTGGCTGGTGTGGCTCAGAGGTTGAGTGTCGACCCAAGCACCAGGAGGTTGCCCATTTGATTCCCAGACAGAGCATGTGCCCAGGCCGTGGGCTCCATCCCCAGCAGGAGGAAGCCAATCAATGTTGATGTTTCTCTCTCACTGATGTTTCTCTCTCCCCCCTTCCTCTCTCTCTGAAATCAATGAAAACATATATATATATATATATATATATATAATATAATAAATCAATGAAAACATATATATATATATATATATAATATATTTTTATTGATTTCAGAGAGAGAGGAGGAAGAGGGAGAGAGAGATAGAAACATCAATGATGAGAGAGAGTCACTGATCAGCTGCCTCCTGCATGCCCCTGCTGGGGATCAAGCC